ATAACATAATTAAATCGGGTCCCACCGAGTCAAAATTGTTTAGGACAGAACAGAGCCCTTAATTGCAGAAAAGGCATCTGCTGGAAAAATTCAGTGGCTGGTAAATAATTTTCAAATTAAAAATTGCAGCCTGGTTGCTTTATCCTAGCAATTCAGTTTTTTTGGTTCTGGGGGAAAAAAAGCCATTTCAAGGACAGCCTGACCCCCAAAGCAGACAAAATCACGTTTGGGGAATGTAAATGAGGCTGAGCAAAGGAATCCTTGTATTAGAACAGAAGGATATTTGCACCACAGAGGACTGCCTAAAATCCCTCTAAAGGGGGTTTGTTTTGTTGTGTTCAGTTTTGTTTTTTTTAGAAAAAATGATTCTATTTGTTGCACTTGGAAACATGGCCTTTAAGCTCCTACTTAGGGTTGCTTGTACCAATAATGCAATCTTTCAATCATCCACTGAGGCTTTCCAAGGATTTGAATCTTTGCAGCTATAATATTGCTTCTATGCTTTCAATAAGTCTGCATATGTTTCAGTTCCATACACCTATTGGGGAGCCCTACTGAATCTCCAATTAGGGCATTCTGATGGAATAAAATTGCAAACAATCACACCGTCATAAGGCCATCCTGGGTGTATTTACTTGAAAGTAAACCCCACATTATTTAGCGGGGCTTACTTCATGGAACAGCTTGCTGCCTGGTCAGGACTGAGATCTGTAAATGATTGTACTGTGTGAATATATTTGCCTACATTATTTGTATTTGCATACAGATATCACTGTGCGTATCAATTTGTGCATATCATGGGCAGTTAAATTATGGATTGGTTCTTAACATAAATGTATTTGTATTTCATTATAGGTTTAACGATTGGAAATTTAATCTCACCAAAGATGATACACACTCACAGATATCCATACAGACAGAACCCATTTCAGCCTCTTTATTGTGCTGAAATGAGCCATTTTTAAGCCTATAAAGTATATTCATATAGATGAGCCTTTATGTGTACACATCCATAGGTATGTGTTTGTATGTATATGTATATGCATATGCATATGCATATGCATATGCATATGCATACACATCACATATTGCTCACAAGTCTGAAGTCACAAGCTCACAAACACTGATCTTTGATATATAATAATAATGATAATAATAATAATAACAACAACGACAACAACTTAACCGTTCCAAGTGCTGAAGTTAAGGTTAACAATAAATGACATACTGATGAATAACTGGATCCAGTTTTAACCAAAACTGGCTTAAATTCCCACTATTATCTGCAAGCCTGGTTTTGGTATGACTAAATCTGCATCCAACCCAGCATTGTTGCATTCCTTTTTAAGTATTAAGGTGTCCATAAGGGTAAATAGGCAGTGAGCACTTTTGTCCTTTGTTAAAATCCAATCAGCAGTTGCAGATCCGCATACTCTAGGCTGCTTCGAGAAAGTCGACATTTTAGATTCTTCCCGTGGCTTTTAGGCGACCGCTCTCGTTTTCATGGAACAACACTGCCATCTGCTGTTGCTTCCTGGCCCTTGCAAAGGATCCAAAAGGTGCAGGACTCTTACAAAGGCGTAAAAACCGAGGAGCTCCCTGCACTTGCGAACATTTTAAATAATCTGCCTCGCCATGCCTTGACTATTATAGCAAAAGATCCCGGCGGCAAATTCATTATAGATAAACGTCCACAGTTCAGCCTACGTTTCAGAGGAAGGAGACTCATAAAGGCAGGTTATTTCCGCAGCCCCGCTTTATCTAAAAGAGCCAGACAAAACAAATGAAAGGGCTTTTGTAGAAAAACTTAATTGCGGCTGGACAGTTGTAAACTCATTAAGGACCGAATTCCAGACAGTTTGCAGACCCGCCGTTTATTAGGGCCTTCGAAGGCTGGTGCTTTGAAGTCCCCCCTGTCCGCAACAACAGAGGGCGTCCCAGCACCCCAAACTGCTGGGACAGACAGCAATTCCAGCTTACCCCAGCCCCTCCTGTCTTCCTTTCTCGTCGCCAACGCCGATCCCGTTTTTTCCACTTGTCAAGCATAACTCAGAGATAATTCCCACCTTTTATTTTCACTCAAGGCATAGCCAGAAACAAAAACAAAAATAACAGTCAGCCAGACCCGTCCCGGGTCTTCCTGGGTGGGGGGAACTTTTACAGACCCGGACGAGGTTCTCTTTCACCCGCCGCGCCTTTACACCCTGGAAGGGTTACAGCCGTCATTTTCTTTTATGGCCCCCGATGGCCCGCATGTTCCTGACAGCGTCTCCATCCCAGACTGGCGAGCTGGGAGGGTGTCCTCGTGTTTTTAGTTTTGAAAGGAAGAGGGGCACTTGAACAGTTTCTGGTACTGGGCAAAATTCTCTTCAAGTAGTTTGTGGATGCTAAAACTAGGTTCTAGTTGCCTTCCTGAGATTCACCTGGCATTCATCTCAGTATAATTCCTTGTCTTGTTATTGGCTTGAATCCAACCACCACCACTACCACTTCACCCCACCCGTTCTCATATTTATTCTTGAAGCTGTTGGCTATGTCCAGCAAGCTGTTGCTAGAACAACTTCATTTTGTGAGCTGGGCTTAAACAACCACCCGGGTAATCATACTAGAATCTGACTTTCGTTATCAGAATAAACATGTATCTTTTGTTGCATTCAAATGCCGCACCTTGATTTTGGGAGACACTGTAGATGAAGATGCAAAGGGACCTTTCACAGAGGGAGCCCATTCTCCATGAAGTTACAAAGGGATATTTCATGCCGGTGCTACATATCTATTTGCCTCTGAGAACCAATTTGGTTTTGTATGAAAGTTCAAAATGAAACCAACAAAAGGAACAGCAATGTTTTCTACCCCTGAAGAGGAGAAGACAGTCACAAACAGAGCTGCTTGGTGTTTTGTTTTTAAATAAAGCCTCGATTTGTATATGTGTCATCAAGAATTGAGGACTTCCAGCAAGCTGGCTATTTTTCAATAGTCACTTGGGTTGGCAGGGTTTTTAAATGCTGTGATGTCAGGAAAATGATGCACTGACTTATAGGCCATTTCATTCAAGGGCTCCAAACATCCGAAGTATAATTTCTTGGAAGTAAACGCTGTCAAAAGACTAGGGACTTACTTCTGAGCAACTGGGCTTAGAATCAAGGTTACGCTGCTGGTTGTTCACCAGAATAGATGCCATCTGTGGGCTGAGCTTGTGGAGCAGTGCCCACAATAATCTTAAAACAGCACAAAAATATAAAAGAATCAATACTTTTTTTTTTATTTAGCAAAAAAGTTAAATATCATTTTGGACAAAACTATTTGGTCAGTAAGCCACGAGGTAAGTCTTGCAAATATACAAAGTGTAGCTTCTGCATAAACATAACTTTCAGGTTGTTAAAAAAAATTAATACACATCTGCAATAACCAAAGGTAGTTTTTTAGTGTATAATTTATTATCAATAAAATTAAACTTCATTACAATAGGAATCAAATTATTTGATTAATCTTAAAACGTAAACCATAGGTAGTAGTTACCTTTTTCACATATAGGTATAGCTCCGATATCTGAGAACTGCTCACGGGTGCAAAAACAATATTCAAGCTAATTTGATTATTAAGGGTTTCTTTCTTTAATATATAGATTATATATATACAACTGACGAAAACTGTACTATATATATAGATAGATAGGTTGTGTGCATACTTAAATGACTGGTTTCAGAGGAACCGATAAGCTCCTTTTTAGTCCAGATAATATTTGCTTTTCTTTTATGTTTAAAAGTTAGGATAGGAAATGAACGATTTATAACTTTTATCCCGTACAATCCAAGGTTAACTGTTTAATGGTACAGAAAAAAAGACTCCGTCCTTACACTACAGAGCTATACTCTATGCAATCTTTATAATAAACAACCTGAGTTCAAATTGTATTCTAGCTTACACAATCACATCTGGTACAGCACCCAAGCACAAAAATTGAGTCACAAATATAATACCACAATAAAACACAGTGTTCAAGTATTACAGCAGACCTCTCTCTGCCGTGCGACGAGCAAATAAATTTAACTACTTCAACTAACCTATACAGTCCATAAAGAATTGTGCATTAAAAGGTAGTTTTCTTTCTTTCTTCTTTCTTTTTTTTTTCTTTCTTTTTTCTTTCTTGACAGGTAGATTTAGACAAAGCAACATATCACCCTGGTGCGGTAATGTCCCTCCTTTGCTTTCCTATGAATAGAAAAACGGAAAAAACACGGTACCTCCGAATAGCACCGGGGCACGGTGGTCTCTCTGCACGCTGGCGAGGTACATTCAAGAGCTGAATTGACCAAGGACAAATGGCAATGAAAAAATAAAAATATGTGAGGCCTGGACACAGTTTCAGGGTGTGGGGGAGGGGAGTTGCGTTGTGTGGCGTTGAAGGACCGCGGGGGGGGGCAGATTTTGCTGTTTTGACACACAATTAAACCTGCCACCCAGCATCATTCATCCTTCGCTCGGTCTTTGTTAATTTTCTTCATTTTCATCCTACGATTCTGAAACCAGATTTTCACTTGTCTCTCGGTTAAATTCAGGAGCCTGGCTACTTCATACCGTCGGTCCCTGGTGAGATACATGTTGAACAGAAACTCTTTCTCCAACTCCAGTGTCTGATGTTTGGTGTAAGGGCAACGCTTTTTCCTAGTGGACCTTGCATGTAACCAGTTTGCCGCTGGATTATCTGCAGAGAAACAACACTACAGGTTGAAGGAAGTGAAGACAAATGTATACTTCTCTGCCCCCCTTGATATCCACTCCCACACCAAATACTGTACTGCTAGTTTCCCACATTTCTTTCACTTGGGCTACAACGGGCTTTAAACTGGACACATTGGAGAGTCACATGGAATTGCAGTAAAATGTCAGCGGCCACCTTCCTTCATATTGTTTATCCAGAGTGTAATTTTAAAGCCGGCATTTCCGGCTTTCTCTCCACCCAGTCAGTCCCTGCTCTCGCTTCCTTCCTCCTCACCTCCCCCCACCCCCCAGCTATTAAAAAGATGGTGGTGGATAACCCATAAGAACAGAAGGCCCATTGCAAATGTGTCCATTTTCTGACCTTCTCCCGTTTCTCCCCTTGAATCTTATATGAGGATAAGGGGACAAAAGAACCTACTCACATTTCAGCTTTTAATGATAAACCTGACTTGCCTATGAACCTGATTTGTGGGTGTGTTCCTCTCAAAAATCAGGAGAGAAAGAGGATGAATTTTCCCCGTTCTGGGCGTTCTTGGCTTTGTGAGCTAACGGAAACGGATTCACACCCAATGTTTTGGGTTTCCTTCCCTCTTTCTCTCCACCCCCCCCCCTTTC